AAGCATTGCTTGCCCCTATAAACTGTTGAATAAATTATTGAAATATTTGATGTATAAACCTCTGTAGCTGCACAGAATGGATATAGTGGATCATGATACTGGTATTTAAATATTAAGTGAATTGCATACAGATTGGAGCTAATTAAATATTACTGATTTACTGCGGAGGAGTCAATAGATTAGCCAATTTTAATCCTTTGGATTATTGTTTATGTAATATCATTCATAATTAAAGAGTTCACTTTCAAAATTCAGTTTAATTTCTTTGAATAAGAGCTCCATCAGTATGTGTGATTGATTTAGGTTTGGGACTTGTAGTACCTCCAGACAGATCCATGTGACACTGAGGGTCAGTTTTGATATTCTATATCATTAAGACAAGTAAATGTAAACCTGGTTTTATAGATCAAACCATGTGATAAGGATCAAAGATAGGATTAGTTCTAACTGATTAGATGCTCATGCACTTGGTTCTGGCCATGGTTATAGTAATTCAACAGTTTTGAAAATTTAACTATCAGAAATAAACACAGCCTTTTTGTAGACCTAGAAAAGAAATGCAATATGCAAAGGTTTGGATGAATTTTCTGCACGTTTACATTTCACCTAGAACTCAATTTTCATATTCCAAAATGACTCTGAAGAGTTTTCTTAAACTGACAGTGTGTCAGTAGTGGCCCATAAATGGGCAGATATCCAATAGTATAAAATTCCTTCCTGTTCTCAGTAGGTAACATGTGGGATTAATTGCAGACATTTGTACTATGCTATGCTAAGATTCTTGCAAATATTCTTAATATACTAAAATGTTAGAGAGGCAAATTTTTATATAATAGTCTTAATTTGAAGAGCAGGGTTGGCTTCTTAATACTTCTGTGAAGGCAAACTCTAAAATTCTATTAGTAACTGGATGTTACTTGAAAGAGGAAAATGGGTGCTTTGTCACTTGGCTTGATATAGGCAAGGACACATCTATGAGACAATCTTATTAATAGAATGTGGTTCCTATAACACAAGTTTTGTAAATTTTTGCTGTACTCAAGGGGTTCCACATCTGAAAAGATCTTTGAAGGAGCATAATGTACATGTGATTTTTCTATCAGTAACAAGCACCCTGGTTCCTCCTGCCTCACATTTTCCATTTCTTGACAGATTGGAGATGTCAGATCATTCCCAGTGAGTGCGATAGATGTTAAGAAGCACTGATTTACCCCAGAGCTCCTACCATTTTTTGTTTTATTTATATTACAGACTAAGTGGTGACTGAACTTTTGCTTCAACTAAATGAATTAGGCTTAGTGACTAAATCAAAGGCATTACTTTGCCTTTTCATTCAACTCTCAGTGTCAGAAAATTATGGTCACATACCGAGTAATCACTAGAAGGAGGTCCGAAACCACGTGCTGTTAATGGTATTTTTTTCACATGTTATTTAGCAAAAGTGGCCTACATAATTCTCTCAATTTTTTTCTCTTAGCATCCGAGCCCAGGTAAAATTTTAAGTTATAAGATTTTTGACTCCTTTTACAGCTTAGTCCACCACGGACCAGATATACTGAGCCACTGCCATCTACTCAGGATCACACTGTGACCACCTCTCCCCACAGAGAATCAGGATTTCCCCCGCTTTATGACATATCTGAAATCAGAACTCAGAGTCCAGTTGTCAATCCTTTGTTCAATGTAACTGCTACTGAAGATCACCACCTAACTGTGTTGCAAACACAGGTAGCACCAACCCAAAAAGGTAAGTAATAAATACTGTCCACAGATATTGGGTAGCAAGTCTGCACCAAAAAAAATAATGAGCAAACCCCACTTCCTTGTCCCCCGTCCCCCCCCAATATAGTTACTAGATTTTATCACCTTTTTTTGTTTCTCTGGGTGTTCTGTCTACAGACGTGACACACAGTGAGAGCCAGATTTTCAAACCTAGATGACAAACAAGCCTTGCTCAGGTATTGAAATAGCACCTGGGTTCTTACATCAGGATTTAGGCTGTCTCATTTCAAACTGATCCCGTATTTGTTTAGACCTGTTCAGGTAACTCATTAATAGAAATGGAATGTGGCTACAAATTAGAGAGAGGCATATATAATCCCAGGGACTACAAGAAAAAGAAAAAAAGGGTGCTGCTCTTACTGAAGGAGGCATTTCTAGAATAACATAACTTATCCCCAGAATCCAAGCTAACTTCTACTGATACACTTTCAGATCCAAGGTGCTTGGAACCTATGAAACCAGGGGATTGTCGAGACTACGTGGTGAAATGGTATTATGACAAGAATGGCAATTCTTGTGGTCAGTTCTGGTATGGAGGTTGTAATGGTACCAACAATAGATTTGAAACAGAAAAAGAATGTCGAGAAACCTGCATTGGTTGATTGATGATTAAGTAAGTTGGCTCCATCGGGTCCTCCTTCAATCACCTCTTTTCCAGGCTAAAAAGATTTAGACATTTAAATGTCTCCCCTACTATACATACATATTATATCATCTTTTATACCTTTGATCAACCTTGATACATTTATCTGAACCTTTTTGAGATGGTGGGACCAGAAGTGCATGCGTTAGTCATGGCTTTATACAGTGACACAATGAGGTTTTCTACTTTGTTCTCTATTCCTTGTCTTACAGTTTCTGACAGTGTATTTGATTTTTTGACCATTACTGAGATTGAAGGTGATATTTTCACCGATCATAGTTCTAAGACTTCATCTATAGGATGATCTGAGAACCCATCACATATATGTGAATTTATGATCTTTTTTCCCCTTGCGTATTGCTTCACATTTATCAAAACTCAGTTTTCTTTTTCCACTCAGCCTACACAGTCAATATCACAAGGTCCTTTTGCAATTTCTTGCAGTCATCCCTTTTCTTTACTACTTCAGAGTAACACAGCATTGTCACCAACTTTGTCAGCTTGCTTTTTACTCCCTTCTCTGAATCACTTATGACTATGTTTGAGTAGGACAGAACATAGCATACATCCTCCAGTGACTTCTCTCCACTGACCATTTATCCCCATCCCCTTTCCTTTGTTTTATTCTTTTCACCACTTACAAATTAGAAGACTGTCCCTCTCAAACCATATAATTTGCCTTTGGGGAAGGACCTTACATTTGGAAATCCAAGCAGACTGTACTAACTGCCTTAGGTCCACATGCTTATTGAGGCATGGACTTCAAAGAGGTTGCTTATCAGTAGTGCCTAACTTCATTTACAAAAGCCATATAGCTCATCCCCAATAAATTGTATTAAATACTCTATTTCATCTTTCAGTACAGGAAAATTCTGGGGAACTGCAGCACGTGTTTTTCTAAATATTTCAGGAAAATTAAACAGTTCCTTATTTCTTCTAGAAATTACTGCTGCTTGGAGTATTTAGAGCTGGAAGTTTGTGAGTATTGAGGAAGAACTGACTAAGAAGAATCCAAAATGATGTGTTAACATGAATATATTATTACCACACTCTACTGCTTTCCACACTATGGTATTCATATTAACTAGATTCCTGTATAACGTACTTTACCTGCAATAACTTACAATCACACATACACACATGGGAACATACCTTTTCCCTCCAAATTTATATTAACTTGTTACTACTACATGTGGCAGTGATGAGATTCTCTTTTTAGGATTAAAATGTCAAAAGTGTTTACGCTTAACATTTAATGACAGAGGTTTCAGTCTGGTGGAATAATAAAATATGCTCTAGTTTTAAACAAGAATAAGTGGTTCCTGATAATAACACTCTTAATACAGCATTTAGAGACATATATTAAAATTTCTATTAATTAGAGGACCTCTTTGGAATGTAAATATCACAGCTACAGGTAATTGGGGGGGTGTGGTAGGACTTTCATTCAGAATGACATTAAAACCAGGATTCTTCATGTCCTTTAGGCTAGTTATTACATTTCAATTTCTCAGGGCCTCTGTGTTTAAAAAAAAAAAAAAGAAAAAAAGTTGTTTCATTCTAATATATACTATTAATTTAAGAAAGAGAAAAGCACTGAAAGATGTATATAAATGTCTACTTATATCCTTTCTACTTTTAGCCATAATCCTATATGAATGTATTGTTAAAACTGAAAATGATGAGCATGTAATTAAAATTGAAAGCAATACCTGAGAGAGAGTCATGCATTGTTATTTCTTTTCAAACAAAAGACTAGTATCTACCCAGGCAATATGGACAATTCTTGATATGTTTAAATAATTGCTTGCACAATTTTTCCACCCCTTGTAACCACATGACAGCATGTACCATGCAAAATGAATTTGGCTGCAGCAGATAGGATGCAAATATAACTGTATGGAAAGATGTGCTTGAAGTAAAATTTAAAAGTTTTTAATTTTTTTTTTTTCCAAAATTCTGGCCTTGTTAGTGAGTTTCAAATTAGAAAAGAAAAAACTGACAGCAGTCCCAAAAAATCATCCTGCTCTTATACTCAGAACTAATGATGATGATCACTCAGAAAAACCCCTGAGGGCACTATTAACTTCTGTGTGACATGGAAGAGTAAAACTCAAGGACATTACCTTGTACTATGTGTTCTGTGATATCCTGAAAGTGAAGGGACTTGGTGGTGTAAAACATAAGTCAAACTGTTGAAAGCAAGAACTAGTTTTGTTCTTTCATCAGAGGGAAAAAAAAAAAAACAAAACACAACAAAAAAAAACAAACGAAAAGAACAGAAAGTAAAATTTGACACAACTTTTAATAAGCCTGTTAGGATTTTTTGCATCAGAAAAATAAATTGCATCAAAGTATCCAGCAAATTATATAGTCAGACTCTTGTGATAGATAAAATCAGTTACATAAAAAGGTAGGACATAAACAGTAAATAAAAGGTCAAATAAAAGTTTTCAAGCAAACAAACTGCCTACTAGTGGCACAAAAAGGTCATGGAAAGAATCAGACCATCATTCCAAGAGTATCGATGCACTGGAGACCTTTAATAGTCAACAGATGTCCAAAACAAGAGAGGAATAAACACAAAGTTTAGGGAAAGAGAAGAAAAAGAGGGATAGACACGATGATGTTTTCAAATTGGCTGGAAACAGTAGATTCAAAACTTAAAACATACTAAAATATAATGTTAACATACTGTCAAACTTGAAAGATGTATTTTTTTTTTCTAGGCTAGGTCTCAAATCAAGTATTCAGAATTCAGTTCAGCTAGATGACAAAGGCATTGTAAGAAATATTAGAGCAAAGAGACAGTACAAACATTTTTAAGAAGAAGATTAGCACAAAATATGACCTTCAAAAGAAGAAAAAAAAAAAAACAACAGCATCCCCCCCCCATCCCAGAAGGACCCTCACCCCACAGCAGCCTGGGGTCAGTAACGGTACCTGTGACACCCTGCACTTCAGCAGGAATGATTTGTTGCACTGATAAAGGCAAGCAAGTTATTTAAGTTGGAGACGTAGACAGGTACGGATAACTAGAGAGATAGATAGGTAGACAGGTACAGGGGTAGAGATACATATCCAGATGAAGATACAAAGAAAAGATCTTTTTATCCAGGAAAGGTGAAAAAATTGCACAGTTAAACTCTACGGTAGATTACCTGAGGGATACCTGTAAAAAAACCTCTGAGTGAACAGGTTCCAGGATCCACTTCATTTCACATCCACCAGGAATATTTTAGGTCTAGCTGCTCCTGGAAACCCACAGCAGCAAAGTCCGCTGGAATTGCAAGGAAGTTACAGGACCTTTCAAATCTGTTCTAAGCTTCAACTTCAGGGGTGGGGTTACTTGCTGTGTTCAGGACCAGATCTACAGACAAAGAGAGACATCTTGTCTAAGAAATACTGGGGATGATGAATTTGGGAATAAATGTGAAGATGTAAATTATGGGTTTGCAATAATATCTTGTATAATGTTTAGTGCAAACCTTTCTGGTAAAGTCAACAAGCTTTAGTAAGTACAAATAGTGACACCATTTGCTATGTAACAATGCTAAAAAAAAGCAGCTGTTACTCTATAACATGCATACCAGGAGTCTTCTTAATGCAATTAAAGCAGTGTGATCCAGCAGGTCAGTGTTTTCTTTTCCACTTCCATGTAGAGTTGACTAAACCTTCTATAGTAAAGAAGAAAAAGTGAAGGCTGTAAGGGTTTTTAAAGGTTATATGCTGTTCAAATCAGATTATCCTGAAATAAGCATCCTCTTCTAATCAGGTCTTTCTGTGAATCCCCAGACTGCAAACGTTGAATGTATGCTCTGATATTTAGTAAACCATGGAAAAGCACGTAAGTCCTGGCTGAAAGGACAACTCTTCTCTAAATCTGTGTCAGTGCTGACTAGCAGCATTGGCTCCTGTGTCTCCTCACCCAGCTCTGCATCCTCAAGGATGTCATGGATCAGTAAACCAGGAGAGGGCACCTCTTGCCAAAAATCCACAGCTTTATTCTCAAATTCTCTAAAATCATAAAACATCATTACTAACTGAAAGCATTAAAGTTTTCATTGGAAACAAACAAACCCTTTATGTACATCACAGGTGAATTTTTAAAACAAAAATAGTTTAATCGTGAAATCCTTAAATCTTCTGCTAGACCAGGCCAAATGCTATAAACAGTTGAGAATAACATAGGCTTTTCTGTAGAACTGATCATTATAAGGTGAATTCTTTTTCTGACATCCCTGCTTCTAACAATTTAGAGAAAGACTCAGAAAATTAACAAGAAAATAGTAACCCATCTGCTCATTGTAGAACAGCAGCAGCTTTTCACTTTGAGAAACTCTTCTCAGTCCCTTGCTAACAACTATCAAATTGGATTCATCTTTTGCCTTAACCCAGTTCAGTCACTGTCTGTCTCTAGGGCCCATTCAGACTGTTTAATAATGCTGCCTGTTCATTGACTGTCCCGCTGTCTGCACTCCTCCATTTCTTCTACATCTTCAAATTTCCTCTGTTACCCCAAATTGACTGAAGATACGCAACATTTCTTGCACTGCAGTTTCAAACATCCTCAGAAAACCGATTACCATGTTTTCTTATTTGGAAGTTACTGTCAAACACACTCCTTTGGGGAAAAAAAAAAAAGAAAACAACTTTACTGATAGCGTGGCTGAGACCAGCATCGACTGTTTTAAAGAAAAATGTTATGGACATTATTGTATGGATGTAGATTTATCTCTGCATTCCTGTATCTTTCTTGCTCAGCTGCTTTCTTAGCTCTTTCAGTACTAGCTGTACATACAGCACACCCTTCTCAAAGGCATCCAGCTCACACCACACATTTTAAAGCAAGTTCTCACGGGTAATTTGATGAATTTTTTAAAAAAGATCTTTTATTAAACCCAAAACAAATAACTCCTTTTCCTCTACCCCTCAGTGAAAGGGCCAAAGTCTTCATGGGCAGCTGTGTGGGGTGGGACATCACAGCTCTACCTGCAAAGGTCTCCTGACACATGAGATACTGTAGGTCCAGCACTGAGATCTTTGACAACCCCATTATCTACTGTTATTCCTCCAGAAGCTTCTTATCAATCATCCTTTATAATCATTTCAGTCTCCTCGGACTTGCTTTTTACCTTCCCAGTTGTAGAGTTCTTCCAGCTGCTGCTGAAGCAGATCAAGGTCTTGAAATCACACAGGCAGACATCTCAGCTATCATACTCAGTAGCTAGACAAAGAAATATAAATTTTATTTAGTTACTAGATTTTTACTCAAGACAGCCTTAGATATAAGTGCCTTCCAGGAGTATTATCACATCTTTTAGTAGGGACAGAATCAGGTTTAAGCTTCAGGGGTAAGCCCAGATTTTGGGCCAAATTCTACTTAAGCTTGGCTTCTTTTCTTCTAACCAGGAATATGTAGAAATTCAGCCAAATGGGTAAGGCTGTAAAACATGATCCATAAAGATTTTCTAAATAGAAAAGGTTTTGGCTTTCTAACAGTATGTAAGACCTATTTTAGAGCAATTTCTAAAGAACACATGGGCTCTGCTCCTTGTCTCGCTGTCTCTGCTTTCAGCAGCTGTCACCTCCCAGCACGCAGACAGGGAGGGAGAAGGGAGATTTTTTGCATTTTATTGGCATGGAAAAAGGAATCTCTCTAACATCTGTCCTGATCGACCCTGGGACACGAAGAAAACCATTTCTTATTGTAAAACTAGTGGTAGAGAAAGAGTTTTGACAAGAATATATCTGGCAACCACAAGGTTTGACATTTGTGTAAACCCCTAAAAAAGAGTTTTGGATCAGCTTTAAAATTGTTGCAAACTCAGCTAATCCCAGGTGCTGCTGGAAGTGTTTGGGCTAGTGCTCCTCCCTCAGCAGTTTAAAGCTTTCAGAACACTTTAAAAAACCTGCCAGAGCAGTAAATAAATGAGCAACAAATCAAAAAATCTCCCAGACCCAGGATGTGCCTGGGTATGTCCCCTGCCATAGCAGGGTCTGGGAAGAGCAGCTAGGGGGGAGACAGGGTCAGCACATGGAAAGCATCGATTTGAAGGGTTTCAGGGATTTTGTGATCTGGTTGCTGCCCACTGGCCCAGGGGTGCCCTGGGCTCACTGAGCACACAGGCATGGGTGTGGAGAGAGGGGCAGGAGAGGGAGGCTGGGAACAGTTACTAGCAATTTTTCCATGGAAAGCAAATAGCTAGTAATTCTTCTGAATTACCATCATGACGTAATTGGCAATTTCAGCTACTCCTTATTTCATTCAGGGCAACTCCCTAGTGCATCGTATTTTCTCAAATGATAGCTTCTATCAGTTTTAACTACATTGTAAATTAATAGGTAAAATGTATTTCTGCTGACCAGAAAGGTTGCATTTTACAATTAATTGAAGCATAATGAGATCCACATATAAAATCCAGGTTTGAAAATTAGTATTTTCATTGCAATGACCCTCAGAGAACTACAACTGGGAGTCTAACAGGCTGCACACTACATAACTGTGCAGATCATAAGTAACTTGAGGCTGCCAAAATACACAATTTGCTGTAGTAAGCAGAAAGTGTACTGATGAGGGTGGTGCTGGAGGCAGAACGGCATTCTGCCTGAAGGGAATATTGTGTCTGCAAATAGAAAACTTCAATTTTTGTTCTGGATGGACTGTATAATATAGTCAATCAAAAGTTACAGTACTCACTGGATATTCTAGACCATACAGGTGAACCTGTGTGAGTGAAAACCATTCTTTGAGCAGGATCATTGAGAATTTAGTAGTCATATGTCAGGCTTTTTTGAGATCTTTTGACACAATCGGTGATGCATTGGAATTCTTTAGAACTCAGACTGGCTGAAACTTTCCATTTTGAGAGGAGAAACTAACTCACCCAACAGAAGTTCCCTTAAATAACTGATTTAAAGTCCAAATCAGTAATTTGCCACATCTTGATTGATGCAGCTGCAGTATTGGGCCCCAGCGACCACAGCTTTGTCGTACAGTGCCACCAGGAGGAAAACAACAAAATGCCTCTACTAAACAAACAGTAAGACATCAACAGTTTACAAGTCATATTGAAGTAACAACTTCCAAAACTCTGCTCACCAGCAGTAACTGGTTGAGGACTTTTTAAATCACCTCTTAATTCATCTCACAAAATTACATTTTCTACTGGTCACCGTAGCTACTTCATGCTCCTCAGACTCTGACAAACTTATAACTTGTCTTATGACATTGTGTAAACAAGATGTTCAGCAAACCAGATATTGAGCATTGCAGGGATGAGTCTTCTAAGGTATGTACACGGAAGCAGGGCCCTGATGCACCATATCATAGTACGAAAGCCGAAGAGCAACATACCCCATAATCACTTCATTAAACCCCTTGCAGCACCCCACTTCATCTGCAACCTTTGCAACACTGCTGAATCTAGCAAATTTACATCTAGCAATAAATGTCAAGCCTAGGAGCACTTTCTGGAAACCCCATCAGCCAGGGAAGTCACAGTTCAGTGTGACAGCAGAGGCAGTAAATGAGAGTCCCTGGCCCCGAGCTGTATCTCCGGTACAAAGCCAGGCGGAGAACATGTCATGGTGGACATGAAGCTGTTACACAGAACCAGCCTTTACTCCGAGCTACATTACTCATCCCAGTGATCTGAGGTTAAGGACTCCAGAGTTCATGAGCTGGTGTGCAGGAGGTCTGAGACAGGAGTAAAGATTTTGGTCTCTGCTTGTGGATTGTGCCTCAGTGTGCCCAGCATGACCCCTCCTGGATACAACCTGGGATCCAAGCTGAACCACTTGCCTACCCCTCCAGTCAGCTCAAACTAGCAATGCCCCAACACACTCGTTCTCTGTAGAGCTTTCTCATGTTACAACCCTGAGAACAAGGATTCATTCTGGGAACATCATGTCACTAAACTTTTTTTTTTTTTAATTGGTATACTTTGCACAGGGAAATATGTTTACTCTTATGTATCTTACACAGATTTCTGTAGCATCCTGTTCTGTAATGAGAGCCTGTTCCAGCTTTCGAAAGAGAGCTATTAATCAAACAGCTGCAATGGGAGAGGGCAGTACTGACATCAGATCTCGAAGTTATTTGTGATACAAAACTCATTCCAACCATCTCATCAGAATCATTCTCACCCTCAGGCGTACATTGACCTTTCACACTCAGGACACACTTTGGTCTCCATCTCCACCTGTCCTCAGGCACTCTACTTGCCAGCTGGATATCACAGGGTGGCAAGTATTTGTTTGGACATTTCCTCCTGCTGATGTTGGTGTAAAGTTTTTGGACACTGACTGTGTTTGTTTAACTGCGCTTTCTTTAACCAGCTTGCTTCCTCTTCTAACAAGGTACAGATGTATTTGTGAAACAGCAGTGAAACACTAAATATCAGCATAACGCTGAACTGAACATCAAGGGAAAGTGTTTCCTGCCTTGCATTTGTTTCCTGCTCCTTATGTATTTGCTTTTTAAGAATTACAAGTAATTCTGAGGCACTGGGCTTAAGTTAGGCACAGGTGCTGCAGGTAGCACAGGCCTCCCTTTATTACTTCCACATGGGAAAAAGCATTTTGGATCCCGTTCTCACATTGACTATAATAATTTTTCATGGCATTTTTAATAGCAGCTACCTTCTGGCTATCAGAGATTAGAAGCTTTTGTAACATAGAGAGGAACTGTGCCAATACCAAAATTGACCTTCTAGCTCTGCATTCCAAGGAAACGTAATCTCCAAGGTCAGCAAGCAATAGGCACAACTACTGTACAGGAACAGAGAGAGAAGGGAACCTTTACACCCATAAAACCCAGTGTGTACTAACCAGGATACAACACTGGAAGGAGGGCAAACTTAACCTATAGTTAGTCACTTATATGATGCAGCAAAACAGTCCCTTCCCCATGTGATGGCAATAGTACGTGTTTGCATTGAGACGAAATAGAGATTAGTCTAACTACCCTTCTATAAAACGGGAAATAAAAGAGATGTTTTGTGTAGTACTATTCAGAATGATGAGCAGAACTCCCACAACACTGCTGTTTCTCTGGAAGGAAAGGGAGAAAGTAAAAACGCACGAAGGATGAGAGGGCCACGAGACAGCCCTGTCGGTGGCCAGGCAGGGGCTCTCTGGGCTGCAGACGGGAGCTGACTGCAAAGCAGCAGCAGGGACCAACAAGACCCAGAGGAGATGAAGGAAAAACATGCAGGTGACAAAACATCTCCCTGCAAAGCTGACAAAGCATTTTAGGACTGTAGGATTCAGGTAGGAAAAGACCACAGAAGTCATCTAGTCCATCCAGGGTTCCTGCTCAAAGGAGAGTCAGCTATAAGGTCAGATTGGGTTACTCAAACCTCTACACTTCTGCATACAAGTAAATATCCTAGAAAAGTGAGCCTCGTCCTCAAACCTGACCACTGTGAACAGCCCAAAGCTCCTGAGGGCAGTCAGGGCAGTCAGGTTGAAAGGTTCGGGCAGGCTTGAAATAGAGAAGGTGCTGCCTGGCAGAAGTACGAAGCGTTGCAGCTGCACATGGAAAATCCTCATAAAGGTGTTCCCTTGGTGAGGTGCTCCAGCTGAAACAGATGTTGGAGTTCAGTGATCCAGGCAGTAGCATAATGCAGAAGTGTAAAATCAAAAAGGTTTATCCTCTCTTCAGCTATGTTAGAATCTACTACTACTGACTGATATATAAGCAGGGGACATCCACATTCCTCATACTAACATTTTCTTTCCTTATGCTCATTTTAGATGCTACTCCTACAGTACAGAATTATATGTTTAGAAGTCAAAATACTAGGTGGTCCAGCTGAATGTATGTAATTAGCCTTTCTTTAATTGCAAAAGCCATATGATCAGCTAACATTTTTGGTTCATTTATATCCTGCAATAGCTTTCTGACTCTCTCCTGGGCCCAGACATCCAGCCCACAAAAATATTTGGCTAGTAGGACACAGCAAATAAGTCATTTTTTCCAACCATGCTTTCACTTTTTTCATGCTTTTAAACATTTGTAAACAGTTTCCTCATTTTACAGTGATGTCAGGAGTAAAATTCCTAGATGCTACATGTAAGAGTAACTCATCCACCCTCCACCTCTTTGAGGCTCATGAGGACTGAGCATTCAAGGTGCAGCCCGACACCAGTACATATGGATCTTTTAAAAATCTTTGCTGAAAATATACGTAAAATCCACAAGTCTGACTCCTCCCAAAAATATTCATCAATACTGAAACTCTTTGCTGCAGGACGGGTTAGTACGGCAAAGACCAGATCAAACCAGTCACCACACACGCGTAAGGTACTGGTTTTCAGTCAGTATTGCTGAAAGCTCTGAACAAGAAGCACTTGCCAAAGTATAGACTGGCATAACTGCATTTACACTGGGATTTTTCTGGCTACAATAGGATTATATGAAATAATAAAGGGTCTGTGAATCTAATTCATTCTCCTGGTACAGTGACTAATAAGACCCAACTGTCACTTTTGAAGTGATGGTTTTAAAGCAAGATACAGTTGATGCATGAGACTTCTCCCACTGGGATCAGTGTGAATTTGGGAACATTCAGATCTATGTTTGATAAGACAACTTCTGCATTCAAGTTTACCTAAAATGAAAACATGGCCAATGCATTACTGAAAAATATTTACTTGAATGAGTCCAAATAAGATGCATGAAATGCAGCTTTGGAAGCTGACAAAGATGAAGTTCATAAAACCCAAGATTACAGGGAAATACTTTAAAAGCAGGATGTTGTTGATTAGACTGACAAATTATGTTCTAACCTGGGTAAACAGACATCGCCTATTCTCTGCTTAAAAATGGGGTAACATTGATAAACAGGAACAAAGGCTTCATTGTTCACATTGAAGCACTGCCAGCTTCCGAACAGGAACGTTTGCTTTTCTAAACCGTGTTAGAAAATTGGCTTTAGACATAATTACCCTACCTGTCCTTGAAACACTAATCATAGTTCAGCTACAATTTCAACAGAATCTGCAGTGGAATAGGCGAAACCTGCTGTTTTCAGCTGTAAATATTCAAACTGCTGGTGCTAGTAAAGCACTCTTACATGCTGGAGAAAATTTCAGACCCTTAGGTGTGATTTTCATACTATTTATGATGAATCCCTGCAGAGCACTCACCTGGGCCACAAACCTAGGAAGGGTATCAGCTCCAGCTTACAGCCACATTCTCCACTTGAGATAGAATAGCCAGAGAACACATGTTTAACAGTGTCGTCATACTCCCAAATTTAGTAGGAGATTGAAGACAACATTCTTTAAAAAAAAAAAAAAAAGTAATTACAGACACATATCTATTTGTTTTGATTTCTACCAAGTACTCAGGATTTGACCCTAAATTAATGTTTGTCTTAATCATTATGCTCTCCAGGAGCAGGGAGCAGGAAGACAGCATTTAACATCACAACATTCAGGTGATTCCTCGTTAACAATTCATGTGAGACAGTAAAACAAAAGTAATAAAATAACACCATAGTCCAAAGTTTCAAAGGTGCAGGGTACTAACGCACATTAATTTCTAAGTCTTTTTGATCACTTAGACAGTGGAGGAAGAGTCAGGACCTTGAATACCTGAGACCATGCAAGATCCAGAGCTGCTGGGGAACACTGAAAGCTCAAGGTGGAACTGGGAAACAGCAGCAGCAGGAGGCTGATCTGGTTCTTCAGGTGGCTGAAGTTACTGGCAAGGCTCCTTTCCTTGCAGCGGGTTAGGATTTTATCCTAGGAAGGGAAAGAAATCAGAAGAGGGTGAGGAGTCACTGGAAGCAAGATTAGAAAATCAAAGAAGCAAACCAGCCTTTTTGACTTCAAGGTGCCAAAGTGATGGGTTCACCCACACCATAGTTTGGTTTTGTACAACTAGAGCATTACTGCAAACCTATATACCTACTCAAATAAGGTTTTGGAGTTTAAACAAAAGGAAATTAGCAAGCTGCTCACATCAACCTTTTATTTAACATTGCTATGAAACTCCCATCTCTATTTGGATCTAAATTTGAAATTCTATTGCCACTCAGCTTTGCAAGACTGTTCATCTCTTTGTGCAAAAGTAAAAAAAAAAAAAAAGATAGTGACTGTAGCAATATTTTGCACAGTTCAAAAAATTCACGTTCCTTTTAGAACATTGCTACAAGGAATTCCCTCTTCTCTATGGAAAACATTTTTCATACTTCTTTAGCACGACTAGCTGCAAGAGTATGGAGCCAGTCCACCTGCCCATCCTACCAAATTGAGTATTTTAAGCATCAAATGGTAAAACACGGTTAGAGCTCCTGCTTTGGTAGTGACTCATTTAGCCTGATGTTAAACACGTGGTAACTTTACTGAAGGCAGCGTGCCGTTTCACATAAGGACCTGAAGTGAGCCGCAGCCACTTGGGAACGTGAAGATGACAGCGATCCACCTGGCATCACGTATTCCCCAAAAAGCACTTTGCAGAGCAGGAGGTTAAACTACTGACAGGAAAAAATCAGGGAAAAAGATGGGAATCTGTTGAAAAGACAAATCACACCTCCAAAGAAGGTAACACCGGGAATATGCAAAATTGACACTTTCTCATCCCCAGAGCTGCCCAGCACATGAGAGAAGCCCCAGGTAGAACTGGGACACGGGGGTAGTTTGGGTCAGTACCAGTGTGGACTGCAGCACCCGAGGCTTCAACCTCCCTAAATAAAACAAAGCTTAAAGAAAAGAGCTGTTGCGGGGGCAAGGAAAGAAGGGACTGTACTTCATGGCTTGTAGTTTCACCACAGAAGAGGAGTGTTATACACAGTGGAAGAGGGGGCTGAGGGAGTCTGGAAAGAAGAGTTAAAAGGAAAGCCTGTGGGTCGCAGCTCAAAACCATACCAGATCCGAATTCCATTCCACTTAGAAGTAGTCTCCCTGCCACGTTTTCTTTTGACTAACCAGTGTTGAGAGCATCTCTGCAATTTATTTTTAATGGTACTTCAAGCAGTCTTCCAGGAATATATATTAGAATGCTGAAAAAAATTGAGAGCTCAAGCTACATTTCTGAATTAAATAACCTTTTCCTTTATAAATGCCAAATATCACCCTAACACCTAGAAGATCTCATGATCCAGCTGTTTTCCCAAGTCTATGTTAAATCACTTTACATGTGGAACAATGAAAACATTCACTGCAGTGCTCTGATTCTCTCTTATTCCTCATGCAGTTGTCAGAATAAGTCCCTCACTTCCAAATTTCTGGAACCCATAGAAGGGCTTCATTTAGGTGAAACATAGTCAAAAAGTCATGACGACTGCTACGCCTTTTGCAGCAAGCTAGAACAAGCAACACGCAAGCTTATCTTCCCCACACCTCAGAACAAACTTACCAGTCCCTGGCTGTAAGATATTTACTTACATTTCCTTTTGGTTCATGCTAGTGCAGAGAGAACTCGAGGAAAATTCCCTTGGGCCAACGAAGCTTTCTGTAAGTGAGCGGGTTACCAGAGCTTACCTTCTTTTAAAGGTATTTCATTTGTGTCTACAACTTCTGGTAATCAAATACATTGTGTCTGTTACATATTAAAAAAAAAAAAAAAAAAAAAAGGCAAGCAAAGCAACCCCACACTTATGAAACAGTTTTTCCCCCGAGCAGTAGCTGTGGTTCTCTGCTCCAGTACTCCCACGGCCCTGCAATTTGCTGGATCTAGTTTAATCTTGACAGCTGAAAGTTACAGTAGCATCACATGAAAGTATAACCTATGCTTGAAACTTCAGAAAGGAGCTTTTATTGTCTGTTCAATTGGCTGTTGCTCCTTAGCTAAAATATTCTAGCTTTTGAGCACAGTTAGATAGGTTGTCACACGCTTCCCGCACTCTGAAATGGTTAATTAATCCAGGTTAATAGTACTAGCAGGATCTTAAGGTACAGTACTTAAGCTAATGAAACACAGCTGTACGATGCTTGTGCCTACCATGTCCAACAACCAGCATTTCGTCCGTAAAGACACCTCCTACCTACACAAGCGAAGTATTCTTTACTGCTGAACATTATTCTGCATGAATAGCAGAAAGCTAGGTTAGAAAGCACAACATTTAAACCTTAACAGGTTTTTTTGCAGAAGTTAAGAGTTTCACTGAAAGAATAAATCCTTTTTTAAAAAGGTGATTAATTCTGAACAGTTTTGCTTTATCTTTGAGATATCAGCTATGGTCAGTTCACTCAGGGCTCTAACAATATGGACACCGAAAAATCAGGACAGTGCAGAAACAATAGCTTGCTTATGTGACTCTAGTACTAGCACTTACGATTAATTTTACACTGAAATACCATCTTTGTTTTCAAGGTATATTGTTATTTGTTAATAGCATAAATATAATAACAGAAAACGTAGCAAGTGTGAGAAGCTTTTTGACTTTCCTGTACACAAGTTAAAAAAAAAGAAAGAATAGTTTTATTAGACTGAATTGTGCTGCTATGCTACACTACTCACATACAGGAAGGGTAAATGAAGACAGACATGAAGTGTGTATGAGATAACTTATTTTATTTATTCAATTCTCAACTTAATTTTGATGCTAAAAATTGGTCAAAGGCACTTCAAAGAAGGTATTTAAGAAACAAATTCTTATGGTGATCATTCCAGAGAAGTCACCAACTTCTATCTGCCATTAGGGCCACAACTACCTATAACTGCAAAGTGAAACATTCACAGGTTTTCAGTGGAGCATACTGTCCAGCAGCAATATTCAATTCTTTTAGAGCATTATTAACATTTGTGGAGTATTTTAAATACAATATGGTAAAACAAAGCAAATTACACTTTTAGAATTCCACAGAAGCTTTTCTCAACAGAAAAAGGACAAAATTGCCTTTCCAAGTGGTCCCGTATTGAAGGATCTATTTTCATCTGTGCGTGCACTATCAACATCAGTAGCATAGAAATAACCTGCATTTTTCTGTGCAAAGATAAAACACCCTGCTCAGATAGCAAACTGTTTATAAGAGGTCTATCAGCTACTCACTAAAATTTATACTTCTGGAAGTGTAACAGACCAAACGGCAACATGTGAAGAAAAAGTGACTTTTAATATATAACCCCACCAAAGCAAAACAAAGACAGTGGCCTTAAAGGCAAAAGGTACTGGGAAAAGAGATTCTGCAACATGAGAGAAGAGGTGATAACATCACCAGCATTTAACCTCTCAAATGAGACTAATATAGACTGCAAAAATGAACTGTGAGTGAAAGAAGATTAAAGTTGGTCTTTTTCTGCAAAGAAAGATTAATACTATCTTCTGATTAAGAGCAGGAATCAGAAGGTAACTTCTTGGCATTCTCATTCTTTCTGAACTAAAAACCACAACACAAGATTAAAACATTACTCTGTTGTACTAAGTGACATTCCCACATCCACATGCAAACAACTGCTGCCTAGTAATTTCAAGAAAACTAGTTCAAAATTTTTAGATGGGTCATTTAAAGCCAATGGAAGCTTTTGGGTTTTACAAAATTAAGCAACCTCTTTTAGAAACAAAATAAAACACACAGAGCAATAACCGGTATAGCCTAAGAGAGCCTATGTTGCTGTGCTTCAGAAAGGTCTATCCACCTGAAATACAGTAGCCTCCTTGGGCTGCAGAAATACTCAAACTCAATAAATACTTTCTCAAAGCACAAAGACCTGAGAGTGAAATAACAAATTACTAATAGTAGTGTAATATCATACAATTATACTAATTGTTCACATTCCAACCTCATCTACTGAAGCTTTTGAAGGCAGATAGATACAAACCAATTATTTCAGAGGTATCAGCTCATTGTTATGGCAATACAATTCAACAGAGAACAACAGTCCTCTTATAAACACAGAATGTAAAAACTGATCATTTTCTAGCTTGTCTGGAAGGAAAAAAAAAAATTCTTTGCAGTGCTGTTAGGCAAAAGAAATAGATTCAGAGGCCTAAGAACAAGGACACTTTAAAACAAAGCAAGAATGGACATCTGAAGAAAAAGGCTACTTTTATTGCTCCAGATAGGCCACCTATTTATCACAAGGTAGTATGTTCTTAGCCTTATTCCTTCAAGAAACAGAACTTCTAGCTTTATTCCCCCCCTCCTTCCGAGGTCCTGCATGTTTTGTGGAAAGAGACATTCCTGCCCTGCTCTGCTAAACCCACAAGCCCCAGCTGGGCAGCAGACAAGAATCAAAACCACTGCTGAGAACAGGCTTCACCGTGAACTCAGCAGTGGCTGGTTTAACTTGCCACCTCAGCAACCAACCTGTGCAGAGCTCAAACATCTCACCACCTGCTTCCCCTTGTCCACCTGAGACCTATGCATGATGAAACTGGAAACCCAAAGACGGGATAGTTGGGATAGTAAGGAACATGAAGAAGGAATTATGTTACTTCACATGGCAGCACAGGGCAAACACAGGACACAAATCTGCATAAAATATGCAAGAATAGCTCTGCCTGTTGTGGTAGAAAAATCTTTAAATCCCTACAGATAAACTGGGGAAGAAAACAGTAATAACAGAACAGTGCAGGAATTCAGTAGTTCTTCTACATGGGCTGAATTTACAAAAGACATTAAGTTGGGATCGGATCTTGATTTCATTTTATAACTTCCTTAGGTATTCCAGAAAATTCTAATTGAGTGCTTGAACAATGCCACTGGAGTTATCAATATCATATAGATTTCACAAGATTATTGGTTTGTGCTGCATGTGGGATAAACCTTTAGCTCACAGAAGGAAGCACCTTTCAGCATGATACCATCCATTCTCCTCTGGACAAGCATCCCTCTGACTAGAGCAAACTGGAGACTTTTTTGCCTTTTCTAAACAAATGCAGTTATAATTTTCTGCTTAAGTCAATAAACATAAAATAAAGCTTGTGTCCCTTTCGGTACTTCAGAGGCAGTTTTGCTCATAAAACACCATCAGATTGAACCCTGCAGGAAATATTCATTTAACTAATACTTGACACATGAACCCAGCCTATATTCAGGCAGAGAAGATGCATCTAATATTTCAACTCCATGAGATATTCCCATAATTGCCATCATGCTACAAAGCAATGGCAAGAAAGGAAGTCATGACTCTCTACTGTTCAACAACAGATAGAACCCCAATCTGTACAAGAACTATCTTTGGAAAAAAAATTCCAGTACTTTATAGTAACATCCTCTTCTTCCAGGAACATCCTGAAGGACAGCAGCAGTAAATAAGGCTGCCTGCTACCAGAATGTGCCCTTTCCAGAACAATGACTGGAGGTAATTAGGTTATGTCCAAATTCATCAATATGATGAAGGTGAAAAGTGATAAAGATGAAGAAACTTTTGTTCAAGTGTGGAATAAAGACACACTACATGTCAAGCTTAACACCATCCCCCATACTGTTATTCACTCAGTTTCAAAGAAAAAAACAGAAAGTTTTACACTAACTGTACAAAACATAGGCTTGGCCTTCTAATATTTTTCAGTAATTGAAACACCTATTTTGTCCCACACCAAGATAAGTGTTTTCAGTTAAGAGGCAGAGATACTCATAAAGTAGTGGAGAAAACGCACTTTGAAAGATTCCTGCATTCAGGCTGGCTTACCTGAGTAACTATATACTTCAGCTTCAAAAAAAAAAGTGAAATAAGGATCATTTAACACTTTGTTCTGAAAAAGGTAACAAGAAGCAGATACAGAAGAAATTTTTAAAAGTGGAGGAAAAAAGAAAAAAAAAATTTAGAAAAGTGAAATTAAGTATTTCAGCCAAATATACCAGATGTGTAGGGAAGCAGTCAAATCAGTTTTGCTGCAGTTTTAAAATAAGACTCGTTTGTATCTGTAAAATTCTAACAAATAAGGTAACTCCACAATCTCAGAGTGAAAATTAAATGGAAACAAACTGATTATATTGCCTCAAACCAAGTTATTATAATGCCATTGTAACTTTGCTAAAATACTATTCTTTGATGGAAGAGAGACTTCTATTTCAAAAAGCATCTACCTTACCTTATGCTGAGAAATTCTGAGATGAATTTTCATATTGAGTCAAGAAATTTGTATTGATTCAAACCAAAAATTCATATTGATTCACCAACTTATACCAAATAAAAAGCCACAGGCAAATATGTAAGCAGCTTGCATCACCTCAGCAATTTAAACAATACTATTTCTGGGTTTCTCCCTAAAACAATAGTGACCAAACTCCATATTGTTTTGTGCAACAGGGACTTAAAAATTTTAAAAATAATTCATAGCAGTGAATTCAATTTCTGAAACAATTCGGATTAATCTTTTGGGTGCATCTCTGCCTATTCATAATAACCAGTCTATTGTTAAGGCAAAGCAGACTTGAGACTGTATTTTCATGCCTCTCCTTATAGGGCAAGATACACAAAGTAACTTCAAGACATTCAGAATACTAGAGAAAGCCATAATGAAGTATTTGACTATGCAACATCCAATTTCTCATATTAGAACTGACCTAACAGAACATCTGGAAGCAAACAGAGAAGAACAGAAAAAGGAACAGAAATACTGTGTGATTATCTTTGAACCCATCCACTATGTTTTTTATACAAATTCTTCCAGATATTAGTGTACCAGAACAAACTCCTATTTCACAACTTTAAGGTCCCAAATCTTTATGAGCAGGACTGCAAGGTCACTCTATCTCAAACAGTCACAGCCAGCACTGGACTCTATTGTACACAGACAGTGATAGCAAGTACTGCCAACGTGATTTTTGAAATAAGAATTGCCATGAGAAATTTTAGTCCACAAGCTTCATGCAGGAGTTTGAGGAGACTCTTATTCAGACTCTTGTACTGGCTTCTTTTGTTTTCTTCAAAGTTCAGTTAATTCTCAGAAATTTTTTGCTTTAGCTTTTGATTATCCTCCAGTGCTTCATTCTTCCTCTGCTCTTCTGGACTCTTTGCCAAATCAGGATTGTACCGATACAAATACCCATATGGACGGAGATGATAAATCAAATATTCCAAATGATACATAGTCACAGAATCAACGTAGTGGAATGAAACTGCTAGATCGGAGCAGCATCCGGGACCCTAAAATATAAAACAAGTCAAAATAATCAGCAAGAATAGCAAAGCATGCCCTGGATTAAAGACTCAGGAAGAATTCAAACACATACTTGACTTCATGGTAAGAAATTCACCATCATCAACCATATATATACTTCAAAACTTAATGTTAGGCAAGTAAAATGTATCAGACATATCTGCCAAAGCATCCTTCAAAAATGAAGTTGGACAGTCTTTGGATGCTGTAATCAAGCCAGTGAAAAAAACTAGCTGTCCTCGTTAATGTCAGAGGTTTTTTGCTTTTCCATACTTCTTTTTTTTATGTTGGTATTTAAACAAAATCAAGAAGCATCAAGCAGGCCTAAACATGTTGCACTTATATATGAAACAATATATGCTTGTTAGTCATGACAGGATCCAGCCAGAGCATATAAGCCAAACATGTGTGCACAGGCATCTGTGTGTGTGTTCACACATTATACAGTTTGGAAAAATCGTCATTATCTAACTTCCTACATATAGAAAGTTGTAAATAATTTTGGAACTTTTTTTTAAAGTTTATTAATTTCATTGGTGTTATTAAGCCTTTTTAAGTGCCAACAGATCATTAACACATTTGTTATAGCTTGTATTTTCTAGATCAAATTCAGCTTTGAGAACACTTTTCTGTAAGATTGTTTTGTGAGGTTTTTTCATCAGATTTGATTGCAGAGCTGCTAATATTCCAACTCTAAATGGAACTAAGATTAAACATTTAAAGCTACTGAAAAGAACAGTTGTTACATAATTGCTATTCTTTCAATACTTACTAAGTTTGATGAATATAGCTTGTTTTTTCATACCAAAATAGTCACAAATGTGACAGGACAGGATCAAATATGCAATTTCCATTATGGATCCCCACCACCACTGCATCAGTCACAGATGTAACTGTCCACAGCTCAGTAACCCGTGAACCGCAATCATAGCTAAAGGTGTGTATCCTGACACACTAAGTACAGTATCATAGTGGTTTTAAACTAGAGAAATTCTCTAGTCACTGAATAAAAGTATAAAAATAGATGTTTTACAATGAAAAGAATCTACTGAAGAATTAGACTTCATTTTTTCCCAGCTTTAGTGTATAAAAAAATCCCATATCCTATCCTTAATTTTGGCCACTTATGCTAATCTTAAAGCTTGATGAAAAAGAATACATTTAAAAGTGAGATTATAATCCTAAAAAAGAAGCCACACCACAGATTATATTATCATCAATGTTTACAATGTAGAATACCTTCAAATCGCTTTAGTTTCAAGTAGTGCCCTGCTCCCCTTTTTTTTTTTTTAAACCGGAAACTTTAGATGTGGAACACTAAGAAAATCTGAAGTTCTTGCACTAAGAAGGTTTCATCTTGTAAATGCTATTTTTGTTGCTGCAACAGAAAAAATTTTTACAAAATTAGCTTTGCCAGCTCTCATAATTGCCTCCACTTCTACAGAAGGGAGACAAGAGTCCAATACAAATGCACAAGGAAATCTTATCATATTTCCTTGTTTGGGTCACGCTTTTATTTCACTTCTAGGCAATGTTCATTCTTCTGTAATCTTTTCAATAGAACTCACACGTACATTTTAACAACCAACAAATGAAAGAGGGCAGGGCACCTACCAGTGTTCAAGCCAGGTAACACCGCACACAGTTATCAGTGATAAGAGAAGTATACTGCAGCACATTTCCATTTGAAGGGAAGAAGACTAGCCGGCAGTATAGTCATGAATACCAGTAACCCACCAGCCCCTCCAGTAACTCGGGAATCTCTTAGATGATGTGAACCAACTACAGTCATGAACAAGTCTCAGAATTTCTACAAGTTTTATGCAAAGTTTCCTGTCAGGTAGGAGATAAAGGTGTATCTGTGCCACCTTCCCTTGCAGCAGGCTTTAATGTAATTAACCCATACTGTCTGAGCCAGCACCGCCGCACGGTGAGCACACACCCCCTGGAATGAACCACGCTGGTCTCACTTCCCACTGCACACTGGTAGTTGCGGGGCTGGAGGAGAAGCTACAGACACTTTGTGTGAGACATGAGGGAACAAAACAGGACATGAGCTTTGCAAGGAAAGCAGTAGTGGTGACACTAGACAAACATGTCAAAAAGGTTTCACCATATTTTGCTGTCCACAGAACACAGCAAAACAGCAATAATAATTTAAGATTCACTAGCACTTCTGGAACATTAAGTTCGTAGCAGCAACTTAGTTGATTAGTGTATTTAACACATCTACATACTGGTGTATCACAGGAAATCACAACAAAATCTTTTCCAAAATATACTGAGTGGCTACTAACCTGCCAATTCACACATCATACACATTCATACACAGCATAAGATGTACATCATAAAATGGGTACCAGGTTCCTAAGAACTTACCTCTACAGCAGGATAATAATTATAATTCCAGTACCAAAATGTTTTTGGTAGGTATCCTCTGATTAAGTGGTGTTCTGGAACAAAGGGATGAAAGGTTTCCCTACCATTTGTATCCCTAGAATCTCCTGCTTCCACATTAATGATCTCCATGCATTTTCCTAGTGCTAGGTCTTCAATAGAGGAACTGTGAGAGCATTTGTTCATTTTAAACGCAGCAACAAATCTCTTCAGAGCTTCTTTGCTCAGAACATATCCTGCTCCTCCACTCATGTAGCCCTGTTTCACATAAGGCTTAAACCTTCTTCCAAAATATATTGGTTGTTCAGGACTGTATTTTGAAAGAAGCCATCTCAAATTGTCCAATATAACATATGTATCATCATCTGCTTTCATAAACCAATCAGCATCGTCAAAATAATGGTCATATACATATTGAAAAGCTTTAATAGTCTTCCAGTATAGCTGGTCCCTGCCTTCTTTGGTTTCTAGGCCCACAGTTGGGAAGTCTTTATTTTCCTCAGAGCTCATAAAAAGTATTTTATTACAACGTTGGGCCCAAGTGGCCTTAACATGTTTGGCTTTTTTTTCCAGATTTTGAGGTCCAGTCATGACCCAACACAGTATTTTCACCTTCTGATACAGTCCCTCTGCAATATTTTTATTCTCATCTAAAAAAAAGAGAAAAGTTCCAAAACAGTATTAGTCTTGACTACAAAACAAGGAACAAGTAACCTCCCCCAGACATTCTTTATCTAGATCAGAAGAGGCATGCAGGAAGAAAAGAGGCATTTGCTTCCAAATGTACCAGTTAATGAAATTAATGTTAGATTTAGGAAGAAAACAAACAAGACTCCAAACCCGAGAAACTAAAATCCTTAAAGCTACTTCAACTTCACAGAATAAAGGAGAGCATAAGAGCCATATCAAAATGGGTATCTGTTCAGGGAAGCAGGGCTTTAGAAAACCTTGATTTGTACATAAAAACTGCTCAGAGGCAACTTCTTTATAGTGTTGGAGGACTAATTAAAATTAAAAAGCTGAACGTTTTTGCCATTCACAATGAACACAACTTAATGATTACAACACGGAGCGGTCAAAAAGCTAATAAACTCCGTTATATATATTCATGTTAACTCACAAAACCTAATAAATATTTCTAAAACAGCAACGTATTTTTGAAGAAAAAAGCAGATGGTAAGCCAGAAAGAAAAAATTTAACAACAGATCAATTTAAATCTTGTTTGTAAAAAATCAGATTAAATAAGTCAGGATACTACAAAACTAGCACTATCATTGTGCTAAAATGTTTTTATTTGCAGACAGTCCAACAGAATAGACAGACACAATTATCTGAGGTGTGCAGTATAATTTTTCCAAGCTGTCAAAGCATTCATTTTCCTCAAAGAAACATTTTCATTTGATATATACAGAGCGATTTTAACTCATGTAAAAGAATATTCCATGGAGAGTGAGATCTGCATAACTGGTCCTAAAATATTCCTGCTTACACTTTATGCAATGGCAGATCAGATTTCTTCGTAACAATGTTGTACAATTACATGTGAAACACAAACTGGTCTTACGAAGTTTGCAGTTTAAATACATTTAAATAGCAAATTACTTATTAACATCTTCTTCAGCAAATGCATTATAGTGCATTTTTTCCTCATCCAAACTATCCCAACTCAGACACTACCTGTATTTAGGATTTAGAATGAACTCACTCAATGAGATGTGTCAAATGTAAAAGTACGCCTGAAATATTAGAAGGGTCTACCTCCTCTGGGGGGGAAAAAAAAAAATGAAAATCAGAGTGCAACAGAATTTGTCTGGTTTTGACTGCAAATTGCAATCTGTGTTTGGACTGCTGCATAATCAACTTGGCAAACAATGCCCTCAGTGGTCCCCTCCAGCTCTCCACCCCAATTCCAAGTTTTACTAATCATGTCAAAAAAAATTTTTTTTTTTTTTTTGCTTTATCTAAGAGGCTAGATCAAAAGGTGGAAGTGATCCAATGGAAGTGGTCCAAAATTAGCTTCTTAATGCTAAAAAACAATTCAGTCACATCTACAATGCTAGCAAATACATCTGCTTAGCAAAACCACCATCTGATGTCAATAGTTCATTTTAGCAATTCCTGTTCAAAGCAAGTCTGGATACAGAAGCTGGACAAACATTGGGCTCTAAGCAAAAAGATCAATACTAGAATAAAAATATAAACAAAAACTACCTTTAGTAGACCTGGGGAGAATTAAGCTATTTACATGTAACCTGAACATGGGGAAAGTGAAAGAAAAGGATTCATACAAATTCATGGCATTGAAGAAAGCAACATTTTGCAATGCATGAAAAGGGAGCACATTATATAATTAGTCAGGCTTAACAAAATACCTTTATGCTGTCCAGAGTCTGCGTTGAAATTCATTTGTCCTTGCAGCTGATTGTTATCAGTATCTGCAGAGTGTTGACCATGTGGATCATTGTGAAGGATATGAGGCTGGATCTTAACCTGTTCTTCCAGTATAATGCTAAACAGAAGATAACATATGAAAAATCCTACTGCTGATCCAAAAGTGAAGGTTAGAAGGCTCATCAAAGACTTAGAAGAGGCCATCTCCTGAAGGTAATACACTGTCAAAAACAAATTAAAAATATATTAAGCCTGAAACTGCTTAACACAGAAATAAAATCTAAAATTATAAGAAGAAATCAAGGACTAAATCTCTGGAAGTAGAGAGCTCAGTTCCAGCTCAGATTCAGCTCCCCTGGGCTTGCATGGAAGTTTAAGTACAAGAGCAACACAAATAATCATATAAAGTTGTACAACTGTTGATAAATTTAGTGCAAAAGGCCTATAACATATTCTTTAGCTTAAAATTATAGTGGACAGTCATAAATCACAGTAGTGACTGTACATACAAAAACCCATTCATTATATTTATACAAGAATGTATACATTTAAAGTGCAATATCTTAATTATAAAATTGTAATATATGTTCACTTCTTTATTCTCTTCATCCCAAAAACTCTGAACTTCAAAACATAATACCTGAGTCTTTTACGAAGCTAAAACACAATGATCAAAGGCAATCTACAGGTCAAGATACAAAATGGTCATGAGATGTACTTAAACTCCAGGAGTAAGTATATTACAGGAATTCTTTAAGAGATGTCAAATGCAAGCAGATTGTGAGGAGTTATAAAAGCAAATCTACTCTAAAAGTAAGGCAGTTTTCCTTCCATTTTTAGGGATTACTGAGGATAGACTTACAGAAGAAAGAGTAAGACAACATCTGAATTTTCATATAGAAACACCCATTTCTAAAAGGCATTTGAGGGAACAGAACAATAAAAGGCATCAGCCTCAAGGGCTCTTTTACACATCAAAACGCTTGTATTCCAGTAATAATAAAAAAAAAATTCACTTCAGCCACACCCTTGCTCCTCAAAAACTAAAGAACTTGGCTGACTATTTTTATAAAATTAAATAAAATCAGCATCTATGCCTGCATGAAGTGAGCTTTATTCACGCAAAACACGTGTGAATTTTTAATATCAAACACTTGAAAAGCAATTCCAGGCTGTTGAGGCCTGAGGCTTTTTTATTTTTGCAAACTGTTAAATATATACTGGATTCAAGACAGAGCCTTACAAACAAGCTGACGATGTTTCTTCCATTAAGATCATTCTTAATGTCAATGGGCAGAACCCAATTTAGTTAGTTAGGGAGCCAAAATAAGAAAATTATGGTTTTCATCACTGCTTTGTACATGCCATCGATCAGAGAAGAGCTGCAGCCACCGAAAAAACTCAGCCTGCACCCACTTCTCTCACTGACTATGCAGAGTCTATTGGCAAAAGACTGTCCCCAAGCAAGCTGCATGAATCTCTTAGCAGCAACATGCACTGCAAATAGCAGCTTTCTGTCTGTCTGAGCGCTCTCCTGAATGGAAAGCGAAGAGGACAGAAAGCAGGTGTGCATATTGTGAGGTTAGCACTTTCAGAAATCATCAGATTTACTGCACACATGCAGATCTAAATCATTTGAGAACAAAGCCGCTCTACCATGTGATATGCTTTTCTTTCCACACCACTAGAAACAGTAAAGAAAACTGGAAAAACAACTCGAAGCACAAATAAAAATAAAGAAACTTAAGGTTTTATCAAATTTACATAATTATAACTGTGGTTGATAGGGAGCTGTAGTTCTTTAATATGAAAAAGCACATTGTACAATTTTTTAATCATAAATTGTCTTTCCTCAGTTTGGTACTACATCTCAGTAGAGACTAACGATTGTCATTAGACATCATATCTTAAAGTACAAAATTGACTGTATTACCATCTGTGACCCAGGCCCTGAAAAAATGACTCGTTTTCCAGCTTTATTTCTATTGTCTTATATGTCATTAACTTGGGAAGAAAACATGAGGGCTTAGATCAAATACTTGCCAAAAAAAGGAAAAGGCAAAAACCCAAAACATTCAAGGAAAAGCCTATATGCACCAGCAGCCTCTGGCACTGAAAAGTATCCACTGTACTAAAATTACTTTTTGTTTTCACTTTCCCTATCTATCACCACAAAGTCCCCTCAAAATTTGCAATTCAGCATATTAAAAGGGGAAAAAATAAAAATCCATGCATGCAGGCAGCGTAGCTACAGCACTTTTTCTTCTAGGAAGTCTCCATTGTTACACTTTTCAGTAGTAGGTATCTCTTTGCCATACAATTTCAGTTATCTGCTCCACCAGCTGTTAAAATTATCCCTGCTTGGAGAGAAAAAATCACTTGAAAATAACTGCTGCTTATTAAACCATGGAATTATGTTAAATTAGGTTATTTAGGGGAAAAAAAATGACACTTTAAGTGTATTAGAAATGTTAAAAGAGAAAAAACTCCATTCATCACGTTTAGAATTCAGAAGTTGATCTAGCAGTATTCCACAAGCAAAGAGGATTTCTGGGAGCACATAAGGACAGATGCTGAAGCTGCACTTCATATTTGATACGAAATGATCTAGTTACAGCTTTCAAACTAAAATAATCTGCTCGTCATTCTATCAATTTTATACCAAGACACTGGACGACTATATACATGTGTGTGTATCCATATATTTATAAACTTCACCAGTAAACAGGACATTTTTGTAGATCTTGATATTTGACTTAGAGTCTTTTAACTTGCCAGCAAAAATAATTGAATGCTATAGCATTAGACTAGAACCAGAAAATGTCTAAAAGGAAGGCCAGTTCTTATTATGATAAGCATCCCCACTCATGACTCTTTGTTGACATTCTTTTCTATACAGGGGTTTATTCAGGGGCAAGACATACAAAACATTTAAGTGTTCAAGATGAGGCTGGATGAAGCTTTGACCAACTCCAACTAGTGAAAGATGCCCCTGCTGATGTCAAGAAACTGAACTAGATGATCTTTAAAGGTCCCTTCCAGCCCAAACCACTCTGTGATTCTATGATGCTATGACATATAGAAAGGGAAAAGGTAAGTGACCTATCACGTCACTAAAAGATCCCCATTTTTATTCCTATTTCTCTTTTCACTTCTTTTGAATTAAAAAATCAGACACTATTTTAAAACACACCTACAACAAAAGCCTAGGTTTAAATTCAAATTATGCTCCACTGCTCTATTATGGCAGCTTAAACAAATATACCTTTAGATATTTACATAGATAGCCCTATTCACATCAACTAGACTAACAAGTGTTTTAAAATTCTATCACAGCTTAACAGTCATTGAAGATTTGGCTCCAGATTAAGTTTTGAGAATCAATGATTTCTGCATCTTCAAGCTTACAGAAAAAATAATTTTCCTGTGTTAGGGGCTGTTGAACCTGGCAGCCCAGTGAACACAAGGCTGCTGCAATTCCATATTCCGGGGTCCAGCCAGTGACAAGACTGTGGATGTATTCACATAGTTGCACATACAAACATGCACATATACATGACTGACCATACAGATCAATACAGCTATAAACTGTTCATGCAAACACAGTCTGGCCCTATGCTGCTCCTCTCTCTAGCTCACCAGGACAAAAGTCCATTAGTGGGGAATATACACACACAATGTGGGACCCTCCAGTAACTGGCCTAAGACAATCTATCCAGAAATCAACCCTGAATCCTCAGCCTCCCCCAGACCCCACTCCAGTTGCTGGTACGGACCTCTTCACCCAGATACACACACACACAGCTCCCCACAAAAACACCATGATCCCCCAGTATATGGCCTTAGACAGTCTACTCAGTAAATGTCCCTTGGATCCTTCGGTCTTCAGTTGCCTCGCTAGGAGACACACATGCAAATGAGCCTCCAAAATCTCCCCCAGATCTACAGTCCCTCCTGGCTTAGACCTCCTAGACTCTCATATCGCCAACCTGAAGACCCTCTGATCTCACTAGTACCGGTCCCACACTTACAGTTGCCTCAAAACCTGGCCCCCACACCTCTTGTTCTACTCCCTGGCTAGCCCTGGGTAATATGTACTAGCAACCACACTGGCATACTTGCCAAGACAATGCACATGCACTCCGGTCTCCGCAGTTACTGGCACTCCAGACACACAAGTCACTAGGACTTACGGTCTCCACTCTGATTGCTGGCATTTAGACACTGACTCACTCCAGTTTCTCCAGTTGCTAGCACACCAGACACAGATGTCCCAATAACTTATGGTACTGCTCCAGTTGCTGGCACTTAGAGCTCAATATAGCAGAGTCCCCTCATCCAGGAAAACAGATAGAAATGGAGCTTAACAAGAAAAGAGGGCAGGCTGTGGCTAATCTGGCCCCAGGCACAGCCAAACATACTGACCAGACACTTGCTTACAATTGACTAGGCCCTTTATCTCCTTATCCTTCTATTTTCTCATACTTGTTCCTCCTCAAACCATTTTGTTCCCTCCCTTTAGCCCGTCCCCTAAGCATCCCATAATAAGATTTGTACAGTCACAAGATGCTCTTCTCCTGCATCCCATATGTCCAATATTCTGTAGGCAGTTATCTCCCTCCTCAATCTTATTAACTGTTCCAGAGACCCCTTCTGTTGACATATCTTGATGTGTCACACCTGGGCATTGGGACTGATGGCTCTGCAGTGACAGAACCGGAGCCTCCTCCAATGCGATTAATGGGGTCCCCCCCCACCCCCACCGTGCCTTTGTGATCTTGGTGATAAGCCTTTTAACCCATTAATCTAAATTACTGTTCTCACTCTGCTAGCTGTTCCAATGAGGGTTAAGGTCACCTTCCCAAGCCAAAGCAAATTTAGGGAATCCCTATGCACTAGGAATACATGATACTGGAGCCTGCCCCATCCCCACCCCTCAAAAACAAAACCCACCACCTTTGAAATTAATACTTTTAAGCAAACTCCAACCGTGTACCTTTTTGAATTTGTTTCAAGAGGAAACACATTCAACAAAAAAATCCCCAAGTCTGGGATTTTGAAATTTACACAACGTGGGACATAATTCTAGATATTTTTGTACAAATTTTTCCTAGTATCATTCCATAATCACTTTGAGATTTTATAAACTAGCTGTACAAAACACAGCTAGCCTACACACACAGCTGACTCTTCCTTGTACTCCTTACTTAAAAAATGAGGGGGAAGCTAGAAGGCCCCAGCATGAAATAGAATGTAAATGTCCTTTGAGAGCTGCATAATTAGCAGTGAAATTGATCGCCACTACCATGTCCTTAACAGTCAAGCAACACAACAGAATTAGTCAAAATGTAGAAAATGTAATTAGCTCTACAATATCCAAGAAAGGTCTTCTGCTAAGGCCCATTATTTCTAGAAGCTTTACATGTGCATATTCCATATGTCTGTAAAATGCAGCTATATGCAAAACAGTTGTACATTTGCTAATGTTGCCTGCATCAAGGATTACTGTGAACTGCTGCAATTTCCTATTAACTAAGCACATACTATACTTTTCACTTTCAAAAATATATATTTTTTTAAATATATCTAACGTCATAAACATTTCTTTGGAGAGGAACTTTTTCCAACAAAAGACTCTTGATTGTTCTATCCAAAAATATAGACAACAAAAGCAAGGTATTTTGGTACAGGTGGCAAATAACTGCATTGAAAGAAGACGTTTAACAATCCGCAGCACAGGTGAGAAGGGAAGAAAGACCTTGTTCATTTCCTTCATCCCAAAAGCTGACACCCTCCCTTAGCACCAAGTTACCATGCCCAAAGCATGGCTTTCTAGACCTCCACTAGCCTAGTTCTTCCTAAAGGGAACTGCGACGTCAGTCCAGGAAGTCCCCGTTCCAAGGAGCAGAAGCGGATGGGGGGAGCAGCGAGCAATTCCCCCGTCCCCAAGGCACCTCGCTCCCTCCGTCGGGGCTCCGAGGGACTCGCTGCCTTCTAAGGAGACCCGTCCTCCGGAGCCTCTCCTTCCCAGGCGGGCAGCCAGGCACCTGCTGTCCCCGCAACCGCGGTTCGTTCCTGCGGGCAGCCTTCTCGCCGCCGCCGGGCTGACAGGCGCCGCCCCGGCCGCCTCCTCCTCCCTCCCCGTCACCGCAGGGAGGCACCTTCCGCACCTTCCTTCACCACGCTTCCCCGGACGGGCCGCTGCCTTCAGAGGCCTGCCTGCCCGTCTGCCCGGCCCGGGGCCCGCCGCGGCCGCCCCCTCAGCACCGCTCGCCACGGCAGCCCGCCCGCCCGCCCGTCCGTCCGTCCGTCTGTCTGTCCATTCCCTCACCTCGTCGGCCGGCCGGGGCCCGGCGCGCGCTCAGCCGCGCGCCGCGTAGACAACCGTTGGCCGCGCGCAGGAGAGGCCGCCGCCAGACCCGCCGCCCCGCGCCGCCGGCATCATCTCGCCGCCGCGCGCTGCGCTGCGCTGCGGACCGGCGGGGCGGGAGGGGGGGGGGCGGGGCCAGCACGCCGCCCCGCCCCCCTCCTCGCCGCCCGCTCATTGGGTGGCGAGCTCTGGGGGGGCGTATCCAGCGCCGGCCCGCGCATTTAACCCTTACCCGCCTCCCAAGCAGCGCCGCGTGGCAGTTCGCTCGTGCCGGCGGGCTTTCGCCGCCGGTGGGGGGCGCGGGAGGGTCGTACCCCCGGCCCCGAGCGCTCACCCCTCCACGCGTAGAGACGGGGATCTGCCCTTCTTTTTCTTCTTCTTCCTCCTCCTTCGCTTGGCCGCTGGGAGCCCCGCGTGGCGCGGCCACCGGTGCGGCGGCGGGTGAAGGCGGGCGCTGCGGGCCGGGGCTGCAGCGTGAGGGCGGGGGCCGGCTCGGTTTGGCGACTTAGTCGGAGCTTTGAGGTGTGTGCGTGAAAAAAAAAAAACGGCACAGAGGGGGAATGGGGAGAGCAGGCGAGGGCAAGGGAGAGACGGGAGGGCGAAGAGGGTCACCTCCCCGCGACCATTTAAAGGTTTGTAAGCGGCGAGGTATTTTCGCGGTGGTGCTTCTTGTTCTGCCTCTTCCGACATGCTTATGAAAGAAAAGCCCCGGGCAGGGCTGTCCCGCCACCCTTCCGTCGTGTTACCTTGTTCTCGGCTGCCCGGCCTCGCCCGCCAGCAGCTGGGCTGCGGGGCCCCGCCGCTCGCCAGCCCCTCATTCCCGCCGCTTGCGCCGCTCCGGGGCCTCGGCACTTCCAAAATACCATTCAGCAGCTGCAAGGGACGTTGCTAGGTAACAGAACCCTCTGAAATCATTCCTTCGCTCCCTGTGCGAATGCTGCCTACCTTTTTAATAGCTGTGATGTTCCTCTCCCGATTTCTCGGGGAAAACCTATTCAAAACCTATTCAATATGAAGACGGATTATAGATTTAAAAGGTGTTTTACGTTACCGTGTAACCAAAGGATGGCATTTCGCAAACAGCGGGTAGTTAATGGAGCTCTGCAGTTAACAGATAGAGGTTTTGATGTTTGCTTTTCTTTTAAAAAAGACTGGGGCGCAGGTATGTGCAAACAAGAGCTGGTCCATGCTGAGAGCCACTAGTGTTTCTGTAAACTGAGGTCACTGCACACCGTGCTCTTGATGTCTCGCCGTATCTCCTCCCTACATGTAGCTCTGTTCCTCCAGCCTGTCCAGCGGTTCTGTTCAAACCATAGCTTTGCCTCTTCATGGCTATAGATCGGTTTTTCTGCCTCCCCCCTCTCCAATACTTTGGTCCTCTATCTTTAGTTCTTTTTGTCTGGATGATGGGTCATTCAGCAGATGCTTTCTTTTGTACTGGTTTAAGAAGCTCCTGTGTCCACATGGCTCCAGGTCATAGTTTCTCATTCCTGCCCCATCCCACAGTTTCCTGCCCTCTTAATATGAAAATTACAAGTAACTTGGTGAATGGTATCTCCTCGAGATAGTTTCATTATAGAAGGAAAGGGTAGAAGTGAGGTGAGTACACTTGTAGGGAGAAGTTTGAGTGTTTGACTTTAAGAAATTAGACTATAAACAATAACAAAGACAATGGAAATTGCAAAGACTGCTGAAAAAAAATAAAGGTGTCCGTGTTCTCATTTCCCTTTTTTTATGCTCCTCCAAACTTTGATAGGAGTTCTGTCTACCTGTGTCCAGGGCATGCCTTAAAATTCTGAAATAGATCAAGTAAAGTTTTCAAAATGTCTCATATTACAGATAAAGCAGTATGATTTGAGTTGAATGTAAGACTTCGTTTTGCTTGGCAAACTCTACAGCCTGGTCTTGCATCGTGGGAGTTCAACTGTCAAGGACTGTGGCCCATGTATACTACATATGTGTATATGTATGCATAAAGTGCTATACTTTTCCATACCAATGTGTTCATTGAGCCATTTCACTCTTCTTTTTGAAAAGAAAATCTCAGAGAGAGAAGGTGGAATGTGCTGTAGTTTAACAGAAGTCAATCATGGTTTGACTATTAATATTGGTTTACACAAAATTTGCTTTAACAAATGTGACTGGTTAGGCCATTTACATGTTAAATTGGCTATTTAACATTTTATGGAGACATTTATATACCACACATACAAGCAGTTGTGTTTTTTTAACTTGGGGATAGATGAGCAATCTCTGGCAGTTCAGAGTAAGGGAATGGTGCCCCTCCAAGGGGCTGCCCTGCTTGTGCAGTTGTAGCAAACATACTTTCACACCTTCTGCTGTGCGAGGCTGCTTTGCATAACAAACTACCTCTGGATGGCTATGTGGAGGGAAAAGCCATTCTCTTGCTCCAGTGGGAAGTGAGGAGCAGGCCTGGTGCTCTCCCTTGCTTGCAGGGCATGCAGATCTGCTCGACAGCATTTCTATGTAAATGTGCTACTGAGAAAGCCCAGCTGTGATGGGGGACACACTGGTATCATGGTAATATGGCAATGAGATTCACATCACTTATCTCCTGGTACGTGTGGCTGGGAACAAATGAAAGGGAAATTACATTTTTAGTAATTTAATTTAAAAGGTAATAAATCACTTCAGTCTTCATGTCAGTATATACAAAAGAATGAGATCTCTCCCTACTTAGGAGGGTAGTCATATCCAACATAAAGACTATTTTCTGTGTGTTTTCAAAAAGTGCAAGGCAAAAGCCGGGTAGCAGGCCCTTTATCCCTTTACTCATCACTAGGTAGGTCTTCATGAGCTACCTGGCTGGGCATCTTCACACCTAAGCCCTCTAGAGAGCACTCCAGAGTATGTACCTTCCATAAAAGCCCACTCACAGATCAGCTACTGTTCTCAGCTTTCTTCATTTCTACACATAGGAATCTGAGACTACAGGTTTCTAAATAAGAAAGCTGACACAAAGTTAAGGTGGAAAGCAAAATGCTGCAGCTGTTGTGAGGCTGTGTGAGGTGGCAAGTCATTGACTACACAGATAACATTTAAATATTTAATTGAATATCTAATAAATATCTGTGGTGAAACTGTGGTTTCCTTCTGTAAACAGCTTTCTACATGCTAATAGCTGACAAAGAACCAGCTTTACCAGATCAAAATCTACATACTTCCATTCATACTTATTTTTTTTTAACATTTTGTTCAATTATAAATGGTCTTGACTCTGCTTATGCCATTTCCTTTATGGATCATCAGCAAGACCATGAAAGTATATATTGAGTAATTTCCATGTATTTTGACTGAAAGCTACTTTTGTGTTCTCTGTTTGCTCTTATTTGATCAAATAGGCAACCAGATTAAATGCAATGCCTTATTTGCTTAATATTGTATATTTAAAATCCCATTAACTTGACCGTTCAGATTCAGTGAGGCCATTCTTCTCTAAAGAACCCACCACCCATTCTGTGTCAATTTGTGAACCCACAAATGGCAGTTGCAGGCACACTGGACCAGACCAAGTGCGAGCATTATCCTTGCCTACCCTAACTTCTAGAGCGGAAGAAAGGCCTTTATGAGTGAATGGAGTTTCAATTTACTACCACACCATTGCTCACTTGGCATGGGACAGGACACACTAATTGGGTACTGTGGTGTCCTGAAACAGTCAGAACCATATACGGAGCTGTAAAACCGATTTAGATGTAATCTGATTACTGCGTCAGATGAAGCAGATTATAATAAAGAAGTAAGAGGGTTCTCTGTGCTGAAGTGTATCGCTCCTTTTACCTGTAAGAACACCAGTTGGCTGAAAATCTGACATCCGGTTCTGATATGGAACTTTGCTCACTATATTTATTGCACAGACAATAGTGGAACTGCCATGTAATAATACACGTTACTGATCTGTGAAGCTAGAAGTACTGGCTGCATTTAAACAATGTACAATCTCCACACTGCTATTTGTGTTAACTAGATCTGCTTGCAACTTAAAGCAAGCCACTGACAATTTACAGATTAGTATTCAGTGCATGCCAAAAACTCTAGTGATACATTTTGAGTGTCATAATAAGAAATTAATCACTGGATCTTGCAAAAAAATGTAATATTTTAATGAATACTTTAAAACAATTTGAAGTAAAGGGTGTTTGATGATTATCAAAATTAAAGAGTAATAAATGTCTTTGTATTTTGATTGGAAATCAAAATGTAATAAGCTATCATTCTGGAAATTCTGCAAGAAAAACATTTCCCACAATGTTTCTATCCATCTTACAGACCTGCCCTAAAGCCTACTTCAGAATGTTCTGGACTACATTCGTATCTCCATGGTTGAAACAGTGCAAGGGACCATTTTTTGAGTTAAATATTTTACAATTTTTCAGTTTGAAGTAATTGAGGGCTCTGTTGCAGCCCACCCGAATGAGATTTTCCTGTCATGAAACTGAGAAAATGACCCTCATTTTCAGTGCTGCAGGACGTGGTGGGAAGGCATGGAGGAGCACTGACAGGTTAGAAAATCTGCTGGGATTCCCTCGGAGGGCTGCACTGTGGGTGGACTGAAACCTTTGTCTTGCCCATATTGCTCTTAAGAAATAGCGCTTGGCAAGTGTTACTCTGTAAACCTTGCCCCGACATTTTCTCAAGGAATGGTACTTGGCATGGACATAAATCACACTGGTGAGCGTACTATTAGTCAGCCTTC